GCTGCGCCCGCCCGCGCTCGGTGCCGGTTCTTGCGAAGCCCCGATGTCAATAGCTGAGGAGCTCGCCTGGGCTTCTTCCCCTGGCTTGCCATGCTGCCTTTTGGAGATAAGACGAGGTATTTGCTCACCGTTGTCACACTTCAGCAGTGGGACTTCAAGTTGAAACCGAGTTAAATTCAGCTATTTTTAGAAGTGGAGTCAGGTTTCCATTCTGAATATTTTCCGATAAACAAAGCAGTGGGGATGCAGCGCACAGGCGGTCTGCAACTCCCACGGTATATCTTAGTGGAGAACTCGGGTTAGTAAGTCCTGCGGTTTGTTCCTCGGACACTCCGTCTCCTCGGGCTCGCTTCTTTGCTCTCCACTTCTGCTCCTGAGCCGCTTGCACCATCTGCTCACTGCTGCTGATTTACTTCTTGCCCAAGTCACTTAGCGGGGATGGATGCATTCTGAATGAGGTTTTGCTGCTGCTCCTCTCTGCATGGGATGGGGCGGTAAGAAGAGAAATCCCCATTAATAATTGACTCTCAGCAAGCTAGAAAGCTTCAGGGGTCACCTGCTTTCTTGTGACCATCTGTCATGCAGCCCTCTTTCCTCTGCTGCTTCTTTCTTAGGTTCATTTAACAGAAAAATAATAAAAAAGCCTTTAACAATGTCTTTTAAATATTGATTTTCTTAAAAAAGGCTGTGCGTAGGGGGTAGGATGCATAGATGGAAGCAGTTAACCGTGATATTCTCCAGAACACTAGTGCATGGTATGTAACTGAAGGGTAGCTTGTTTGCCCAGGAAATAGGGTGTTAGCAGCCTTGAGAAGTAGCGTTTTATTAGTTCAGCCAGTCACGCTGCCTTTGGAAACTGGAAGTAGTATTGAACAAAGAGCAATGCTAATTAATAGTAACCGCTGTGTCAGATTTGTTTTCCCCATGGACAGGTTTGGTTAGTCTTTTTTTTTTTTTTTAATGCTGAGACACAGTTTTATGTTTGTGTGGGTCTGAAACAGGCAGTAGTTCACCAAATACAATTCAGTCACGTCTCTGTGATGGCGATGCCTCTGCATTTAGAGGAGGTTTTGCAGAAAAACTGTTGACATTGAGTTCTTGCTTGGCAACAATTCTATGGTGTTTTTAAAGTGGTGGAAACATTGCATTAGTTTCAAAACTTTTCTTTGCTGTCTTGCATGGAATGGGGTTTTTTTTGTCCTTTACTTACTGTATAAATAGAAAACTATAAATAGATAATAAGGAATATCTCTTTTATATGCAAGTTTGTTTTTGACAAGACACATGACGAGTATATTGGTTCAAATCGTATTCACTAAAATGCTATCTTGTAAAGCTGAACAGTTTCAAAGAACTGATGTACTTTGTTGAAAGGTTTAATATTCTACATTGTAGTGTTATTTTAGAGCTTGAAAAGAGAAAAATCCTAAAATCTAATGCCATGCTTTGTTTCAGTTGAGTCTTTGTAGAACTGCAATACATTAAACAAAGACTATGCAGTTAATGTTTTGTTACTTAGCATTATATTTACTCTTTCAAGTAAAGCAGCATTCCTTGATCTAGTTTCAATCGTTTTCAACTGCTTCTAATTTTTCATTTTGCTTCATACTATGCCAAAGTCTTCACAGGTCTTAAAAACAATTGACCAAGAAGTTAGTTAATTTGGTACCTTACGGAGCAGAGAAGCATATTCTGCTTCATGTTGTGAGGCATAATTGCTAATGGCAAAAGAGAGTTTCTGTATCTGTTTCTCAAATATTTGTACACAGGAATAGGAAAAGATCACCAGCTCAGCCATTTATTACAGAGTAGTACAAGCCCTTTCCATTGGTAGTAATGAACTTTGAATCAGAACCTAATTTAGCAATTGCATTTTGCTTGTTATTATTATTTATCATTGCATGATAGGTATTGAATAATTTATATTTTTTTTTTCTTCCGCAACTAACTAGTTCCCACAGTATTTTATACAGTAGTTCATTTGGTAATTCCCACAAAAAATTGTCTGAATTAGGTGTCTAAATAATACATACAAAATAAATGCTTTGGGTGGTCTTGTTCCTGCAGATTTGTTTTCTTGGTTTTTTTTAAAGTATGGGAGTCACATCATCATATGTAGTCATTGAATAGTTACCTCTTGTTCCACTTTGCACAGGTCAGTTTGATACTACTGTCTGTTTTCATGGTTTAAATATAAATATATATATCAATATATTTTCTGGCAAGGTGGCACTTTTAAAAGAAAATGTTTCTTTTTATTCACAATTAGTTTGTGTATTAACTATTGTTCATAATGTGGATGTGACAATTGTTGCACCAATCCATATTCTGGATTCTTGGGGAGAAGGGCTGCAGGTCCTCTAACTTAACAAATTTGCACCTGCTTTCCTCCTCTCCACTAAAATGTACATACGAATGGCTTACATCTTCTGTTTTGATCCTGCAGTGCCTCAGGGTTGGTAGCGTTGACAGGCAGGCCACATTACTGCCTTCCTCAAGTCTTTGTGGCTAGGTGGACTGACGTATCCTGCCATCAAGCTATGTTGCTTGAATTCCACCTGGACAGTGCAAGCATGTAGTCCAGATGAATTGCTTTAAATTTATCCCTCCTTCGAGTCCGTGAATAAACTGTGATCCCATGAGCAGGAAGCTCCGGAATCAGTTATTTATTACTTTATTTTGTACAAGGGAGACAAGCGGTATACGGAGATAATATAAATAGCTATTACCCATGAAGTGCTGTTACAGTATGATCAAAGTGCAGAACAACAAAGGGGAAGCGTGTCACCAGCACACTCTGGGAAGAGGTGAATTTACTTCACTTAGTGATTCAGTTGCTGGTTGACAAACCTTCTGGCTGGAGAGTTTGTTACCGCACACTTGCAGGTTCAAGAGTTCCTAAATGCGTAGCTCCTACTAAATTTAAGCTGTTTATTTTATTCCTTTTTTTTCAACTCCTCTTGTTATTTTTCCCCTTCCAGAGTTTTAGAATTTCCTGTCATATTCTGGCTTCCCAGAAAACAGAAATGTTTTGAAGTAAAACAGTTCTTCTTTTAGATTGTGTCTTGTGTTTACTCATACTGTTGTTAAAGGCTCTTTGTAGCTGATGCTGCAAGTATAATTGTTCAAACTAGATGTTATAAAGGCATAACCTGTAGCCTTTTTTGTCACAAAAATTGTACTGTATTATGGCTGAATCCATTACCCTTTTTGTCTTCCTGAAGTTTTATCTTTTTATGTTCCTTTTAAAAAAAAATCCATGCATTGCCATGTTCAAACATCATACTTATATTAACCCTCTATGAAATACTTCTATATTTCGGACTTCCTGTTTGTCCCTACTCCTAAAAATACAGCAGTGATTTTCTCTTAGTGCTCTTTGTGATCAGAACCAGCAGACAGCCAAAACATCCAAAGTAAAAATTCTCCTCCTGGTTAGAGGCAGCTGCATTGTTCCAGTCCATTTCTGTCTCATCTCCTGAGCGTATGGCATGATAGATACAAATTATTAACCCAGGTCTTGTATGCCTTTCACTGGAAATAAGGTTATTTTGTTATAAATACATCTTGGCTTATTAGTAGAGTTGGGAAATATTTACAAATGAATTAAGGCGGGGTTGTATTTGGAAAAATAAATGTCCCTAACAGGATGGTACTTCACAGTGCTTCAGTGAGGATTGCAGAAGTGGCATTTACTGGGAAACTGTACTTTGCTGGAATTCAGAGATTGCACAATTTGAATATATCGATTACAATTGTTACTTTGAAAAAACTCAAATACAGTTGATTTTTTTTTTCTTCCTGATGGCTGGTGGACAATCAGTTTGTAATGTACTGCCTGCAGTACTAAATTAATTTGGACACTTGCATTCTAACCCCTGTGTCTAGAGGGCTTTAAAAAAATGTCTTTCATTTTGAGCTGGCCATTTGATGTTTAATCTCATAAATATTATATGTCATATGCATTATGTCATTGTTTTGTTTGGCAATATATGTGTGCCTAATTTTTTCTAGTTGGAAGGAAATGAATTTTTTGGAGCAAGTCTATGAGAATTCAGATTTTCAAAGACAGAGCTATTGAAAATTTTCTGTGCTTTGCCCTGTGTTTTTTCTTATGAAAGATATTATTGACATACAAAAAAATATCCTAAAAATATACATGTATGAACCGTATTCATCCCTAATGCGACCTTGGTAAGTAGGCAGTAGGTTTTAAATTTCTACATTGAAGGACCCCTAACAGTTTGCCAAAGGAGGCAGAGAATCCTATGCAAATTGTTCGAATATGCTGAAGGAGGACTTGCTTTTATAAGTTACCCTGTGTAAAGCATTTACAAGAGGACTGCAGACCCACCGACTCTTCGGACCATGGCTTGAAAACCACAGGAAGTAGTGGTGTTAATGCAGAGATCAGAACATTTTCTCCTGTGTCCTTGGTTTTATTAGATGTTTATAGAGCTTTTCTGAGAACCAAGTACAGAAAAAAAAATTATTTCTATGAAATATTGGAAAGTTTTCTTGTCGGTCTAATGATCTCTGTAGTTGTCCTGCTTATAAATAATGCCGCCGCATCCTTATGCCTTTCTTGGTAACTGTAAAGTATTAAGATAATCCCAAAATATTTTAAACTCCTGATTCAAAAAGCATTCAGGAAGGTAAGGAATGTTACATTCATGAACTTGTAAAGGTGATTACATATTTTTGGCATTTACTCTTGTAATTAAAGCTAGGTGTGTGCCTGAGTATTTTGGAAACAACATTTGAAACAGCAGTTACTCTAGGCTGAAGAAACTGTCATTTGAGAAATTATAAGAAATCACTTACTAGTAGTTTACATATTTAGTTCCCAAAAAGCTACAACCTGAACTCCTACACAGAATCTTTGGTGTGAAGATAAACTAGTCAGCAGATAGTACTGAGGGGCTACAAGGAGAATGTGTAGTACTGTTCTGCTATGTACCGTTTGCCCTAGGTAATAAAGAAACAAACAGGTGTGCACTATGTATTAATTAAAATACAACTGGTAAGCCTTAGAGGACAGGTAGAAAATAAGATGGGGTGAACTACTTTAACAGTTAACATCTCTTTTTGCCTTCTTTTGTTTCAGGGTAACTTTATTACAATATGACAGTACATTTGATAATGCTAAAAGGCATTTGAATTCTCATTTCCATTTCAATTGCTGTTACTATGAAGACTTTAGAGAAAAGGGTCTAAATTTCTGGCAACTATGAAGAAAAGTGGAGCTGAGGCATACATTGCCGTTGTGGGAGACAAGAAAGTTAGACACCTTTCTTTTATTTCTGAATTGTAGAAATTAACGGAAGTTTTGTGTTGGGCATTTGTTGAAGAATCATCACATGAGGAGATTATTCATGTCTTTGTACAGGATTAGGACAAAGACTACATATGTAAAATAAAAATACCAACCAGTCTAATTTTGAAGCTGAAGTGAGACTTTATAGTGTGTAGCCATTGTGCTAGCTCCCTGCACAAGGATAAAATTCATGATGCATCACCTATGATGTATTCAGATCAAAGAAAGTGCATCATAGCTTATGTTCATGCTTATTTGAATGATAGATTAAAGCTGAATTATGTGGGAATATATGATACAGATAAGAATTACAAAGAAAGCAATTTTAGACAATACATTCTGGACTTGAACTAATACGCTACCACCTATTTTCATTTTCACCATTAAAGAGGAAGCATTTTGCTTTTGTCATGAATGAATATAATTAATAAAACCACAGAATGCAAGTCTTGCTCTTCCTTACTGGCAAAGAAACATACATAAATTTACGTGGAATGCTTCCTCATGTGTATGATTTCCTTGAAGAAAAGAAAAAAAAGGCATAAATACAAAAGGAGCTATTTATGAAGTGCCAGAAGAGAAGCTCTACTCAAATGGCCCTTGTGAATAACTCAATGGTTGTAATTTCACATTAGGTCTGGCACTGCAAATATAGCCACAAAATATATTTGCTTAGTAAAAGACAGATATTTTCCCATTTATTTGTGCATTATGGTGAACTCACCCCAGCACAGAGAGCCATCCCAAAGCCTCTGCACCAATTAAGTCCTACTTAACCCCTATTTTAGGAATTTAAGTGGAACTGAAGTGGTGCCTAAGACTTACGAGAGATCTCCAGGAAGATGTGAACTTAATTTTTACTCTGGCTTTCACCAAAGTCACTGCCATTGTCCTATTTCTTTCCACAACAAAATTGCTAGGTACATTATAGTTATTTTTAATTCTTTGAGCTTGGAACAAGAAGTAAACATTTGGAGAAGAAATAAAGGTCATGTTTTAGAATTTGACCTTCAATTCCTGTGGATTTATTATCTTTATACTGTGAATAGGAAGTCCCTTCTAGGGAGGAAAGCTTGCAGTATGGTTGTTAAAGAAAACTTGAAAATAGCCAAGAATAGCCTGTTAGTGTTAATCCCCCACTTTGAATACTTTTGCTACAAATAATAAAGGAACCTCTGCCTCCTATTTTAAAAATAATACACGCATCAGACAAGATTTACATTATTTCATCGTTCTAAAAAGTTGTTATTTCACTCTTTTATGAGCATGGTTTGAATCAAGAATTAGAGTTCTTAATTTAGATCTGTATTCAAACAGAAGTCAGTTGGACCACTTAAATGTTCAGTTAAATGTATGCTTATGTATTTGACTTGAGTTGTGCCAAAAAAATGACACCAACCTTAAGTCATACTTTGTCTCCAAAAACTGTTTGCCTACCACTGTTAGAAATAGCATCTCTAGTAACTATAATTGGAAAGGGTTTAAGGAAAAACAACTATTGTCTTTGTCAATCTACTTTTTCAGTTGGTTTGAAAGCACTGCTTTGACAGTCAGTTTACTGTTTCCATCCTCATACACTTTATGTAAATCTTTCCATGGCCAGAAAGGAGACAAATCCACTTAGAATATGATTGTGAAATAGGAAGTACTGGGAAGAAAATGGGAAGGCAAGTTTAACATCCAAGTGACTTTGACTTTCAAACTCATCTGTTAAAACTGAATAGTTCGAGTTGTTGTTAATGCCTTAAATTATTTCTGTCTAAATTACGTCAAGATGCGTGAAATACATTTTAAGACATCTAGTGGTTATTTTAAGGAAAGCAATTGAGAAAATAGTTTTGAAGCTTGGCTTGAAATATTGTTGATTTCAGCACTAGCAGGATTAGACCAGAGGAATTCAGATACTTGAAAGCTGGCGTTCCTTCGTAGGCAAGTTTGGATTGAATCCCTCTCCTGAAGTGTGTTATCAGTAACTGCTGGTTTGAATGAAAAATTGGTAAAACATTCCACACAACTACTGAAACATTACACATTGTATATATGAAAGATTTATGAGCAACAGAGAAAATGTATGGGCAATTATTTGTTGTTTCACTGAAAGCCACTCATCGCTCAGTACTTTTAGGGTATGGTAATTATTATGCATTTTATGTGCAAGATAATTAAGATGCAGTATACTATCATAGTTGCATCTCGGTATTACTTTTGTGCTCTGTTTTTGCACATTTTGTCCAACAATATCAAATACTTGCTGAGTGGTCACGTTGGTATGGTCTTACATATGTAGCATGGTTACGTGTGTGAGCAAGGCAATGACAATCTGGCTGTTACTCTTTAAACATCTTCACTGGGGTTTGTTTGGAGAAGCGTGCTGTGTATTCTGGAGATAATCAGAATGAAGCAAAGATGAGTAGAATAAATTATTTAATGTTGCCAGTGTAGGAGTAGAATAGTAATGAGTGTCAGGTCAGCACGGTTTGATAGATATGGGACAGGAAATGCAGCAAGGTTCTCTTCACATCTTAGACCTGAGGTTGTCTTCAGGTCTAACTGTGCCCTTCCACATGACCTGGAGCAAGCCACGTCTCTTGCTTGTGCCTCTGTTTTCACACCCACTGATTTTCTGTTTTTGTTGCCTATTCATATTGAAAACTTCTTGCTTTAGGGAGAGGTCTACTGTCTTCTTCTGTAAAGTGTTTAACAAAGCAGGGCCAAAGTCTTAATTCCTCTGGAGTTCCTGAGTTCTGGTGTAATGCAGATAATGCGTAGTTGCATACAAGTGATTACAGAGGGAAGGATCACACAATCTTTTTTTTTCTTTGTATGTTTTACCTGCCATTGTATTTTCATTCCCTCCTCATCCCTATCTCTTCAAAATTCCTTTCCAATTTTATCCTCTACTCATGAGGTCACCAGCCAAATTCAGCAGTCACTATTGTCATGCTCCTTTGAAATAGTGTTTTATAGAGGAAAGACTGGATTTAGCTGATAGAAGTGACTAAGAAAATGGTAATTCATCTATTCCTGTTTAGGAACTCTGGGATAAATTATAGCTTTCTCATAGTGCAGTAAAGGATGTGTGCAGCACCTAAGGGACGGATGCTGATGCCTGTCACTCCTCAACATGCAGCGATTGCTGTGCTGGGACGGAGACATTGCATTGGTTTTAACTGTCTGCGCAGATCACTACAGATCAGTATCTGCTCCTGTTTAATACACTCCTGCAGCTTCTAGATTTACTTTTACAGCAAGAGTCGTGTACTTGCTATCATCTTTTGACAATGCCAATGCTTACTGAAGACTATTCATATGTCACAAGTGTTTGTTTCTTCCTGCAGTCCTTTCAAAATGACATCTTAATCATACACAGCATTTGTTACTAATTTCCAGTAACCTCGCTTGTGGTTCAGTATGTGTCTGGAATAGGGTGTCTGTTGAGCTAATTCTGTGCTGAGGAAGTAGTTGTGTTAGTAATAATACCCTTCTTGTCATGCACTGTTAAATAGGATCGAGTGTCAACAAGCAAATGCACGTCAAGACGTTGTCTGATTGATCGATTTTAAATAGGGTTAGAATACATCGGTTAACGTGCAATGCTAGCTCTTCCATCCATGGGTATAACTGTGTAAGTAAAAGGAGCTAAATAGTTTCCTTGTTAGAAGAGGCATTCAGTAAAGGTCAGTGAACACTGTTCTTATTCCAGCTGAATTTGAACGGCTTTCCTGTTGCCTAAATGAAAATGTCTAAATGGTTTGAAGTTGAAAGCCATGCTTTAAACTGTATAGTTAAGGATTTGTTGTTGTTGTTAACTTACAGAGCTTTTTTGAGAATCACACACTGCGTTGGCAAGTTATTGGACCATCAACTACATTAAAGGAGACAGGAATATGTTACTCATAATTATGCAGCTCCACATGTAGTTCTGTTCAATGTCAAAGAGCTTCATAAATAGTACAGATACCTAATGAGCAGTCAGTCCTTATTAAAGAAATGTAATTACCTTCCTGTAAAGGATTTTGCAGTTATGTTTCACATCCCTCAATAACCTCCATAAGACAGAGAAATTAATGTTTATTTTAGACAGTAAAAAGGCAACAAGGTAGAAACAAAATTATCTCATAGCCACAGTTTCAGAACTGGTACTAGAATTCAGAATACATTGTTCTTGCTGATTACTATAACTACACTATTAAGGCCAGGGGACATAATTGCACAGCACTCCAGAATAAATAAAATGTCACGTTTCAAATGACTGATAAACCAAATTTCTGCTTTAGCTTTTGCTTTGTCCACAAGGGCTACCCGATTCTTTCTCTGGCTTGCATCTTATATCAACACATCCACCTATGTAAAGTCAGTGTAAAACAGACCTGGCTACAATGGTAGCATGTTACACGCTCCTTTCCTCATGTGTAGATCACCATTGAATCAGATATTGCTCTAAAAAATACTGTCACTCAGCAGTAATATGGGTTCCTGCCTGTACATTTTCAGACATGCCTAGGCAAAATACATGGCTTCCTACGCTTAATCAATTGCTTGGTTAAGAAAACTCTCCATCTGATACTAGGTTATTACAGTTACTTTTAAATCTTATTTTACATTAATGCCAGTCGTCAATGTTCAAAAATCAAGTCAGCACACACAATCATGAAACTGGCTCAAGTCACAAGACTTCTTTTAAAATTATTGATTATTCTATATCGACCTTCTTGTATCTGAGGCTTTAACTGCACTTGGCTCATGTTTTCAGGTTCTTCTTCCAGCCTCAGTGTGACATGCTAAATTTTGTTTAGAAAAAGCTAAAATTTCCAGGTAATTTATTTTCTTGAGGAGATTAGAGAATAACAAAAAGAACCCAAGTATAACATAACACATACAATGACAAGAGTTATCAGCACTGATTTTAGAGGTTGTATTGTGTTTACTTAGAAATTTTTGCATTTTAAGCTTTTTATTTTTCTTGAGCATACTTTTGGTCATTTTCATCACTAATTCTTATTCTGTTTTCTCATTCAGTTTAATAAATGAAAATTTCAAATGTTATCAAATGCTAGCTTCTTATTTTGACTCTCACTGAAACAGCTTTTGCAAATGTGATATTGCCCTATGCAAATTATATTCTGCATTTCAGTAATACATGGTCAAAGCTCCCACATTTAGTATTTATCCTGTTTAAGTACTATAAAGTAATCTTGTTAAAGTCAAAGTTCTAGTAATATATTAATTGTTCTTTATGCTTCTTCACTGCAAGAAACATTCGGATGAGGTAACTCCACAAAAAAATACATATCACTGCTGTAATAAAGAAGGATCATTGGTGTTTTTATTAATATACTATAAAAGCAAAGCTTACTTCCTTTAAAAATAAGTAGCTAAGCAATGAACCAAAACTCTTTCAGAATAACAATGGAATTTCATTGTGTTCTCTGGCACCATGTTTCCAGTAATTGGACTAGATTGCTGGGAAATTTATAATAGATGCTGATTGAGGTATATTATTGCTACAGCAAGCACTGTTCCAGGAGCTTCATGGAAAATGTAAGAGCATGGAATGAAATCCTAGCTCTGTGGAACTCAAAATTCCCACTGCCTTAGTTGCGTCCAACTTTTCATTCAGTGGTTTTGGACAAAGAGCCTCACAACTCAAGACTCTCGTCTTCAGAAGATTCCCAAATGTCCTGTGTGACCACACTGACCATTCAGCCTTGAAGATCACTGGGGCTATGAAGGATATTAACCATGTATGTAGGGTTTTGCATGATCAGGACCACAGTATGCAGACAGAAGCCAAAATAAAGAATAGTTTATCACCCATTTATTTGGGATTGCACTGGTGTGAATAAGAGAAGAATTTGTGCTACATTGAGCGAAATTTACCTCAGTCAGATTTTGAGGGGGAAAAAAATTACCAGGTAGCTTACACCAAAGTGGAATGTCTACAGTAACATAACAACTTCCTTTTGCCCTGGTGCTCCATTTACACTCACACTATCCATTCAATTTTTCATTGCATGTGTGCCTGCAGTTGAGGTCTCCAAATGATATGTGATTGCAAAAT